TGTGGTTGTGGCTGTGGGACTGTCAGGGAGAGCCAGTGGTTGTGGCTATGGGGGTGTCAGGGTGGGGCCCATGGTGGTGGCTGTGGGGGGTGTCAGGGCGGGGCCCGTGGTGGTGGCTGTGGGGGGTGTCCGGGCGGGGCCCGTGGTGGTGGCTGTGGGGATGTCAGGGCGGGGCCCGTGGTGGTGGCTGTCGGGTGGTTTGGAGCCGAGCCCGGAGGCCGCGCGCACCGGAACATGGTCTGCACATTGACGATGGTCTTGGCGTCCGCCATGTAGTCCTCCTCGGCGCTCATGGTGCTCTCCTTATCCACCACCACCAGGTTGTCGGCGTAGATGATGCCGCACTGCAGCAGGCTATCCAGGCTGGTGGTGGGACGGGATCCCCATGCCTGAGGATGTGGCACACTCCCCACCCACAGGCCTCTGGGATTTGGTCAGGGAGGCAGGAGGACCTCAGCCCCCCCACCCCCACCTGCAGTCAGGTGCCACCCCAGACGTTGGAAGAGGAGGGGAGGGTGGGTGTGGAGCCCTCCTGAGCCATGGCTGACCACGCCTTACTTGTCCACGGAGCCCTCCATGTAGTAGACCATGGGGAAGCAGCAGATGGCTTCCAGGAAGTGGTGGTCGGGCCTGTGGGGACAGTGGTTCTGGAGGGGCCCATCCTGCTCCAAGGCCCACCCTCCCAAGGCCCCTTGGGGCCCTACCCTCCATGCACAGAGCTGGACCAGGAAGAGGGCCCTCAGAACCACGGTATGGGCCCTAGGGGGCGGTGCTTTAAGGCCAATGGGCCATTCTTTATTTTGTTCAAGGGGAAACCAAAGCCTGGGAGGGTGGACCTGCTGAGGTCACACAGCCAAGATGACCCTGGGCTCAGGTGTCAGGGCCCTCGGGCCCCCTGGGCAAAAAGGTGCTCGGGAGGAAGAGCCATGTGTCCCCCCATCCCTGGGGCTCAAAGTGAGTGGGGCAGGAGGCAAACAGGACAGAAGGAATGACAAGGGAGGAGGAAGAAAGGGGGAGAGAGGACCAGAGCAGGGGGGACTGGGAGCCACAGGAGCTGAGAGCAGGGAGGAGCTGAGGGCCAGAGGAGCTGGGAGCGGGGAGGAGCTGGGATTGGGGAGGAGCTGGGAGCAGGGAAGAACTGGGAGTCTGAGGAGCTAGGAGTGGGAAAGAGCTGGGAGCAGGAGGAGCTGGGAGACAGAGGAACTAGGAAAGAGGAGGAGCCGGAAGTGGGGAGGAGCCAGGAGCAGGAGGAGGGGGGAGCAGGGAGGAGAGCCCCACTTTTTAGTAGTGGGAAAGCTGAGAGAACTGGGCCAGAGTCCCCATGCTCCCATGCCCTCTGTGAAGGTAAGGGTGGGCCTGGTGGGGGAAGCTGCTGGCTGCAGGTCTGAGGGCCCTGGTGGGCAGGGTGGGCTGAGCCCCGGGAGCCTCACTTGTTGTCCAGCAGCAGGACGATGGGGTTCAGCTCCTTGCGGGACCTGTAGTAGGCCCGCAGTGGCACGATGAAGTTGTACAGCCCATTGCCAGCTGTCTCTGCTGACACGATGATCAGCTTGTTCTTGAACCCATAGGCCTTGGCGTCTTCATAGCTGTTGTGCTTGCAGCCCTGGGGGCAGATGCTGGAGTCAGGGCTGGCTCCTCCTGTGGCCACTGGGGCCCTCTCAGACCCCTCACCAAACAATCCCCACAAACACCCAACCACCAGACACCACAGCTGTGCCCACAGGTGGCCCAGAGCAGTCATGTCAGGGTGGAAAGAGCGGCATCCATGGGAACCTGTGGTTTTGGCACATAGCTAGAGAGCTAGGCATGAGCATAGATACATATCATGTGTGTGCATGCACACATTTTCTTGTTTTGTTCACCAAGAGGCTCAGAGCGGGGATGCCCCAGCAGCATCGAGCACACCACGTGCCCAGATTTTGGTTTCTAATCATCATTTTCCACTAAAAGGAATCAGGGTTCTATGGAGAAGCAGTTGATTCCAGAACTGGAGCAGGGGAAGGCCAGAAGCGGGCTGGAACATCTCAGGTTGGAAACACAGAGGAGCTCAAAGGATGAGGGGGTCACGTCAGAAGCACCCAGAAGCCTCTCAAAGGCCCCCACCATGCCCAGTGAAACCGGGGGTCCAAGCATCAGAATCAATAATGACCTGTCAGGGATGACGCCATTGCAAGGGTCAGTGACAGTGACATTTACAACCCACAGAGTCAGCCAGGAGCCCAAGGGTTGTAAAGGACACACACACAGGGTAGGGGGACCCCTCCATGGCCAAGTACTAACGCATAGCTGGAGAGAGATTCTGAAACTGGAAACCATCCACTGATGGCTGGCATGGTGGCTCACACGCCTGTAACCCCAGCACTTTGGGAGGCCAAGGTGGGAGGATCACTTGAGTCCAGGAGTTTGAGACTAGCCCAGACCACATAGGGAGACCCCATCTCTACTAAAGTAAAAATAAATAAATTAGCCAGGTGTGGTGGTGCGTGCCTGTGGTCCCAGCCACTCGGGAGGCTGAGGTGGGAGGACCCCTTGAGCCTAGGGGGTGAAGGCTATAGTGAGCTATGATCCCACCACTGCAATCTAGCCTGGATGACAGAGACCCCATCTCAAAAAAAACACAAAAAACAAAAAACAAAAACAACAACAAATAATAAAAAAAAAAAAAAAACAGTGATTGACACTGAAGCCTCATGTCTACTGGTTTGTTTTCCTGATCTCAACATGTCCCCCACAGAGAAGCTGCTAACTCCAGAAGGAAAACAGTAACTTTTACGGTGGGGAAACCCCGCCTGCCATGAGATCCAAGTTAACGTCACCAGTGACCTGACAATTGACCCCCCAAGCTTCCAGGGATGGCTGGCCCCGCATGCAGGCAGCGTCCCACCACCAGGAAGCGTTGGCAAACCCACCCGCCACCAGGTCAGTGGTCCCTGCTCTGCAAAACGATGATGGTCAAGAGACCTCAGGGAACATTCCAGATTGAGGGAGAGCAATGAGAAAGGAGCGCTAAAACACAGCGGGACAGGCTCCCAGCAGAGATAACGCTGCCACGAAGGACAAGGAAGGCCGTTGGGGCCCTCGGCACAATCTGAACTTGGACTGTGGATCAGACACTGATGATGGCCTGGGCCCCCTGTCCTGACGACTGAACTGTGGTTACAAGGTGGTCCTTGATCTTTGGAAACGTATGTGGATGTATTAGGGGAAAGGGGAGCGGTGGCTCCAACCTGTTCTCAAAATGGTTCAGAAGGCCGGGCAGAGGAGTTCACGCCTGTAATCCTAGCACTGTGGGAGGCTGAGGCAAGTGAACCACCTGAGGTCAGGAGTGGGAGGCTGAGGCGGGTGGATGACCTGAGGTCAGGAGTTCAAGACCAGCCTGGCCAACATGGCGAAACCCCGTCACTACTAAAAATACAAAAAATTAGCCAGATGTGGCTGGGCGCAGTGGCTCACGCCTGTAATCACAGCACTTTGGGAGGCTGAGATGGGCCGATCACTAGGTCAAGAGATTGAGACCAGCCTGGCCAACATGGTGAAACCCCGTCTCTTAAGAACACAAAAATTAGCTGGGCGTGGTGGTGCGTGCCTGTAGTCCCAGCTACTCGGGAGGCTGAGGCAGGAGAATTGCTTGAACCCGGAAGGTAGAGGTTGCGGTGAGCCGAGATCGTGCCACTGCACTCCAGCCCGCACAACGGGAGTGAAGCCCCTCTCAAGTCATAATAATAGAAATAATAATAGCCAAAGAGTTAAGAAAACAGATGCTCCAACACAGAGACCGGGAGAGCGCACAGGGGACAGGAAGGGACCGTCTGCTGACCTGGGGGCACAGAGACCGGGAGAGCGCACAGGGGACAGGAAGGGACCGTCTGCTGACTCTGGGGGGAGGGTCTGCTCAGCTCCCTTGTTGCATTCGTGCAGCTTTGCTAGAAGTTTGCAACAATGTCGAAATGCAAAACGACAAAAGAGAAATCAGGGCAGGTGTGCACAGCCTGGTGCTGGCGTCCGGGGCTGCAGAGCACGGCAGAGCAGCCAGCCTTACCTTGTCCAGCCGCAGGCAGCAGAAGGGGGCTTTCACAGGCAGGAGGTGGCACAGGGTTGGGGAGCTGCCGATGTAGGGCGAGTTGGGGGGGTATCCCTTCACGTACCTGGGAGGAGACGGGAGCCCTCAGCACAGCTGCGCGGAGGGGGCTGGGTCTGCTCTGGGGCCCCCCTTGAGCTGGGGAATTCAAGGCACCCACTCGACCCACAGCCACACTGCTCGGGGGCATGGTGACCTGGTCTGCCCTCAACCACCTGGGCATCAGGAAACGTTCCTCCAGCTGAGCCTGTGGCCACCATGTTGTGGGGCCCGTCCAGCATTGGCACCCAGGACCCAGTGTGTCCCACAGGGCAGTGCCCAGGCACCTATGCAGGTGCCAAGCCTTAAGGACCCTGGCCTGCCTGTCAGGTCAGCAGTGGCTGCAAGGCCAGGGTTGGGAAAGCTATGACTTGGCTCTGCCAGGGCCTTAGAGCACTGGAGGAGACAGCGGGGTGAGAAGGGCCCTCACTGCTGCTGCCCTCACCCAGCTGTGGGAGGGGCTGGCCACGGGGCTCACCCCTCATCCGGTCAGCCCAGGACCCCCTCAATGGTCAGCCCTTGGCTACTTTGGGGTGGGGCAGAGGTGGGGCGGGGCAGGAGGTGGGCTGTGCCCTGGGCCTATCCTTCCCTGAGGGTCTGGGGTGAGACTACGCCCAACACACACAGTGGAGATGTTCACACATGTACACACATGGAGATGCATGCACAGATAACACCTACAGGCACACTGAAATGCACACATGCGGACATATGCACAAGTGCATAACACACACAACATATACACTACACACAGACAACACATACCACACATGACACACACCACACGACAGAGTGCACCACAAACACACCACACACAAGACACATACCACACACCATACAGACCCAACACACAACACATACCACATACACACAACACAAAGCACACACACATACCACACGTGACACAACACAAACCACATCCACACACACACACAGCACATACCACACACACAGACAACACATAACACACACACCCCACACACCACATGACAACACAAACCACACACCCAGACACACAACACACACATGGACACACAACACACATGTGGACACACAACGCACATCATACACACGGACACACAACATATCACACAAGAGCACAATGTACATCACATACACATGGACACACACAGAACACACCCCCCTTGCACACCCACCCCCATGCCCTACATGGTCTTTCTACCCCCCACACCAGCTTAGACAAGGCCTTCAAGCCACAGGTGAAACCCACAGGGCTCTGTCCACCCACCCTGCCTCCCTGAGGTCGCCAGCACCGCACCTCAGGCCAGTGGGGCAGGCACTTGGGCCTTGGGCTGTTACCCATGTGCTTTTCCAGCCAGGCTGCTGTCCCCAGGAGACCACCACCCCGTCCCAGCGGCACCCAACACATACACACGCAACGGCTCAGTGTGGTTTCCCAGAAGCTGGGCTGTCATTACAGCGAGTGGACCCCGCCCCAGAGGCAAAGGCCGGGCAGAGTCAGGCAGCCAAAGGAGGGTGGGCCCTCTGGCCCTGCCGGGGCACTTGTCTGTCCAGCCTGAGGCCAAGAGGCGGAAGTTGCTGAGAACAGACTGGGGCCTCCCATCATGTGAAGCAGGAGGACTTGGCCCCAAGCCCAGGCCTGGAAACAGCTCAGGATGGGCTGTGGTTTCCAGGCCAAGACGCTGCCTTGCCCAGCGGTTGCACAGGGACCCTGCTCAGAGGACACCCACCCCTGGCCAGGCGGGCTGTGACCCTCTGTGCTCCGTGGCACTGAGGGGGAGACCCAGGGCTCGGGGCGGACAAGGATGGCTGGGGTCTGATTCAGAGTGGCTGAGCCGCTGTGGGGCTGGCAGGGTGGGTGGGAAGGGCCCCTCTCCACTGGTGGCCCCGCCAGGTGTTTGACATGCAGCCGTCGCCTCAGTGAGCTGCCTTGCCCCAATCAGCTCTGCACCCCCAGCCCCAACTGAGAAGGGTACAGTCCAGTACACCCCATCCCAGTGACACGCAAGGTGCTCCCGGGGACCACAGTGCTGTGGCTCTGATGTCTGTGTCAGGTCCCCTGAAGACCCCACGGAGCTGTCCGGAAGCAGCAGCTCAGTGCATGGGCCACCACCCCACACCCCCTCCCCCCTCCCATCCCCCCACGGAGCCGTCTGCAAGGCCACACTCACTCCACCACAGAGAGCCCCTCGTCGTCCGAGGGTGTCACCTCGTCCTCTGACTGGTCACTCAGCAGGTCGCAGGGCAGCAGGGCTGAGCTGTCGGCCAGCTCCAAGACAGGTGCGATGCTGGGTCGCCGGCTGCCTGAGCCGTTCTCCGTGGGCAGTGCCAACTTGCTGCCCCCGCCGCCCCCGACACTCTGTGTGGGCTGGTGCTCTGTGCCCTGCAGGTCCATGGCCACCGTCCCTGGAAGAGAGCTCCGTGCTTGGCTGCAGCCCGACTCCCACCCTCCAGGGCCAGTGAGTTCCCAGAGCTCAGGCAGTCAGCCAGCTCTGGAGACCCCATCATGGCCTGGCTCCTGTGCTTCAGCTGGGGGGCTTCAATCTCTCTGTGCCTCAGTTTCCCCCTACATACAATGGGGTCAGCAGGTTTTAGGGTGGTGATGTTGAGCAAACACCCAGGGGGCCCCAGTACCCCATCAGTGCCACCCAAGGCAGCTGAGGTGGCCTCAGTTCCGACTGCCTGAGGAGGGGGTTGGCTGATCCTGGGCTCAGGGGTCTCAGCCTTGGGGGCCCGTGCCGCTGGTCAGCCTGCCTGGTGGACAGGGCCAGGTGGGGCAGCCTGGCCTGTGGGAGCAGACTCAGCCACTCCTGCACCATCCCCAGGCTGCCAGGTAGGGGCTGTGGACCTCCAGGTATGGCCCAGGGTCTCTGCGGGTGCAGTGAGGGTTGTCTGAGGCACCCTGGTTTCCTGGAAGCCACCTAGGGGCAGAGGGCCCGCTGTGCAGGTGAAGACAGGGTCAGCCTCTGCCTGGGCCACTGCACAGAGGTGGCAATGCCCTGACCCGGCCTGTGGGTCTGTAGCCTGAGTGGCTTCCTGGCCTGACTTGCTCCCTAACTGTCCCCCAGGAAGGCCTGGCTGGCGAGGGGGCAACGCCACTATGGGTGGTGCCCTCAGGGCCACAAGCCTGCACCTGCTCAAAGGCAGCCTGACCCGGCCTGACCCGGCATGGCACACAGCACCCCGGAGGAGCCTGGAGGCGTGAGAAGAGGCCAAAGCCCTCAGCCGCCTCATTCAGCCAACTCCCAGCCCCGTGGATGCCAGGGCCCCAGGCTATTTGAGGGACACACGTGAAGCAGACCCTCTGGGCTGATGGGACCCTCTGGGCTGATGGGACCATCAGCGGCCTCTGGCTGAGCTGCCAACTGGTCCTGTGGGCGGCCCCACTTGGACACAGTGAGCGATGCCCGCAAAAGTGGCCACAGGAAGGCTGGGACAACTCCTGTTTGACAGACTCAAAACAGGCCCAGAGGGACTCCACTTGTCCAAGGATGGAGGCACAGGCCAAGAGGAGTTAGGTCTGGGCCCCAGCTCTGATCTGTCCTGCCGCACTCTACCTCAGCCCCAGCCCCCCCCCCCCCCCCCCCCCCCCCCACCCCCCCCCCCCCCCCCCCCCACCCCCCCCCACCCCACCTGGTGCAGGGGCAGCCAGGCCCTGGAGGAGCAAGCCCAGGGAGCCCCGCGCACAGGCCCTGGCTCACCCATGGAGGCGATGATGCTGTGCACAGGCAGGCGGGCCGGACCCTCGTGCAGCCCCTGCCCCGAGAACGCCCTCTTCTTCCGCTTCTCCTCCTGCTTGAAGATGAAGGCCGAGTTCTCCTCCTTGGTGATGTTGATGTAGAAGCAGGTGTCGGAGGCGGCCAGGATGTGCCGCGGCCCCGGGTTCAACAGGATGCTCTTGTTGTCCTCCCGCTTCAGCCCGATGAGGCACACACCGTACCTGGGCGGGGGCACCACAGCTGCAGGCACCGCCGCGCCCCGTCCTGCTCCCTGCCGGCGAATCACCAGAGTCTCCCCCCACCCCACGCCCGAGCTCCTCCGTCTTCCTCCTGGAGGCCATCTGAGGTCAGGGCCCTTGGCCGAGCTCTCCTGTCCCAGGAGTGTTGGGGACCAGAGAGCTGGGAGCAGCCCACGAGCCAGGGAGGAGCCTCAGGGAGGAGTGTGGCAGGTTTTCATGTGGACCCGGAGCCCAGCCCTGCGGCCGGCTGGCCAGGCAGGATGACTGGCTGCCCCGCCCCAGGGCCACCCCTGCCTGACTGGGCGGGTGAGCGCCAGCCCTCCGGGCGCAGCCTGGCCTTACTTCTTGTGGGCGTGGAAGGCCGCGTAGGTGAAGCTCTTGCCCTCGTACTCGCGGAAGAACTTGCTGTCGCCCATGCGGATGTGGTACACCTCGTTGCCGGAGCAGCGCCCGTACATGCGCTGCCACTGCTCCGGGGACTCCTGTCCCTCCCTGCCGGCCGGAGCGGGACCAGGGGACCGTCACCCTCAGCCGTGGCTGCCCCTCCTGCGCGGCCGGGTCTCCGGCGGACCCTCCGCTTCCCCTGGCTGGACCCCTCCCTGTGCGGGACTTTTGCCCGCCGCGCGCCCCACCACGAGCCCCTCCTCCGGGAAGCCCGTCCCCGCCCGCACGCAGGCCCTGCCTTGTCTCCCTGCGCCGGCCGGGCCATGGAGGTCGGTCCCGCGGGGCACGGGGCACTCACTGGCCGCGGGACGTGTGCACCAGCAGGGTGATGAGGGTGGAAGTGGCCGGGCAGATGCAGTTGAGCGCCAGCATGGCGTACTTGCACTCCTCCTCACACACCACGTGGTCTGCGGGCAGGAGAGGAGGGCGGTTCACTTGCCACCCTGCCGCCTCTCTCCTCCCCCACAGCACCTGCCCCCTTCCTGAAGGGGCTGTGCAGACACGCCCTCACCTGGTGCCCCCCTGGAGCCCCCACGTGTCTGCCGTCCAGCTCCAGCATCTCCACCTCGAGAGTCTCTGGACACCAATAGTTACTTGGCCTGAGCCTCTGTGGACCTCCCACCATTCCCGTGCCTCTCTCCAGCTCAACAAGGAGCTCCAGGGCTGGGTGGGTCCCGGGCACGCCATGTGGACCCTAGCCCTGTCCCTTGGGCACCCCATGTGGGCCCTGTCCACTTTCTCTCAGGCACCCTGAGTGGGCCCTGCCCCCTGCCCCCGGGGGGCCCAGTGTGGGCCCTGCCCGTAGAGGTGCTCATCAGATGGTGCTCCTGTCCCCACCTGACTCTGACGCTGCCTTCACTGACCCCAGGGCCCCAGTGGGAGACTGTTCATATGAAGAGCTCAGACCTCATAGCCCGCTTCTTGTGTGCGGTGAGGATGGGGTGCACCGTCCCCTCCAGCACCTCCTGGTGTGCTTGTGTGAGGGGCTCCAGGCCAGCCCCTCCCGTTCCCCACACCGCGTGCCCAGCTGCGTGCACACACGCCCTGCCCCGGACGCACCGGCGAACTTGACGTGAAACTTGTTTTCAGGCTTGAGGATCTGGACGTAGAGGGGGCAGTTGGGGGCGAAGTCCTTCACGGCCCAGGCACGCAGGATGGTCTGGTGGTCCTGGTGGGGTGGGTGGTTGGTCAGTGCAGGACGGCTGGCATCTGTGGGTCGCTGGGTGGCACCAGCAGCCTGGGGCAGGTCTCTTCCCTCCGGGACCCCGATTCCCCACCCCACGGTGCCCTTTCCGCCCAGGTGGGGCCTCAGCCTCACTCACTGCTGCTGTGCGGTCCACCTCGTTCCTGCTGCTGAGAATGAAGCAGGCCTCCCCATTGTCCATCCTGCAACACACCAGGGCCTGAGCGAGGGTGGAGCAGGGGAGGCGGGCAGCACAGCTGGGGGGGCGGGGGTGAAGGTGAGGTGGGGAGGGGAGGGCCTCCCCGGGAGGAGGCCGGTGCAGCAGGTGTGTAGGAAGATTTTGGGAGGACGGGAGGATGGGAGGATGGCAGGCAGGGAGGACGGTGGGCCGGCAGGGAGGACGGCGGGTGGGCGGGGAGGACGGCGGGCGGGTGGGGAGGATGGCGGGCAGGCAGGAAGCCCCTGCTCCCCGCTGGTCAGGAATCACAGTGCCCCCTCAGTGGACATCCCGGTACCCTCCCCACCCACCTGCATCACAGCGCCCCCTGGTGGGCATCTTTGTGCACCCTCCACCAGCAGGCATCCCTGTACACCCTGCCCAGGTATCCCAGTGCCCCCCCATAGGCATCCTGGGCCTCTCTAGACTCCCTGGCCCCTCCCTGACAGGCTCTGAGCTGGGTCAGGACTCCCGGACACCCTAGGGAGACTCCAAGCTCTGACACTTGAGAAGGCACAGGACCCAGGTCTGTCCCCTGAGCCTGTGCAGGCTGATAGCAGGTGGGCGCTGGGGGGCAGATGCCACAGGCAGTATGTCCTGGAGACGCTGGCTGACAGTTTCTCCCAGCCACAGCCCTGAGTGGGGAGCCCACGGCGCTTCCTGAGGCAGTGCCGGCTCTTCCTCCCCCGAGCCGTGTTCTCTGAAGCTACCCCCCAGCTTGCTCCTGAGGTGGCTCAGGTAGGAGGGGCGTTGAGAGGTCTGGGAGGGGGCTCTGCTGGCGGGGGCTGCCTGGATTTGTCCACACTCCCAGCTGTCAGAGGCTGGGGGTCCACGGTTGGCAGGAGCAGGCCTGGTGGAGACCCCACCTCACTGTGTGCCAGTTACACGGGCACCAGGGCAGCTGACCTGACCTGGGCACCGGCTTCTTGGGTGCCCATCTTACCTGTTGCCATTAGCTATTCACCCAGGGCTGGGCTGGGGTACAGAAGGGAGGGAGGAACTTAGGGGCAGAGACCCTGTCCTCTCCCTGTCCTGGCCACCCTGTGGTCTGAACACCTGGGTGATCACTTCCAGCCTCTCCATGGTCTCCCCAAAGCCCAGCTGCAGAAACTGACCAGTACTTATGAGATGCCATCTGAGAAGCTGTCGCCTCCTCTCAGGGCAGGGAGTCCCACCTCATCACTGGCATCACTGTCTGCTCTGCAGGGGCCCAGGCCCCGCACCCACAGCCCTGGGCTCTTCCCTGTCTGGCGGGCATGGCCTATGCGCCTGCCCTCTCCCCACTCCCTGGGCCCAAGCAGTTGTGTTAACCTGTGTGCTGGGGACAGGATCACAAAACAGACAGTGTTCTATAGCCAGTGGGCCCAGCTTAGGGCTCTGGACATGGCAGGGGAGGGGAGCGATGGAGAGAGACCCTGGGCCACTAAGGACACATCCAGCCTCCTGGAATGAAAACGCTGCCAGGAGCAGTTTCCGGGGAGTGTCCCAGAAAGTGCACCAACACGTTCTGGAAAGTTCCAGGTAACAATACGCTCTTGTTACCCTGTCACTCTGCCAATCTGTCTTTGAAAGGAAGCTCCATCTGCAGCCCCCATTCTCCCACCTTGACTCACAGCAGCCGACTCTCCCGCCCCTGCTCTATTTCGAGCCTCTGCAGAACTTGACAAAGAAAATTTCCCTAAATTTAAGAAGGAGATGTTGAGAAAAAAAAAAAAAGAAAGAAAAAATTTCCCTAGACTTGGAGCAGAGGAGGGTGGAGTTTGCACAGGCTGCCCTCATCCTGCAAGAGGGAGACGGAGACTCAGCTGGGGCAGCTTGCCCAGGCTGCTCCACAGTGGGTGTGGGGCAGGAACAAGGGGCCTGGCTGCAGGGTCCTGCTCATCTGGGCTTGGAACCTGAGCCAGAGAAGCTGCAAGATGCCCCAGGTGGTCCACCCCAGACAGTCCACCCCAGACTGTCCACCTTAGATGGTCCACCCCAGAGTCCACCCTGGACTGTCCACCTTAGATGGTCCACCCCAGAGAGTCCACCCCAGAGAGTCCACCCCAGACAGTCCATCCCAGAGTCCACCCCAGACAGTCCACCCCAGAGAGTCCACCCCAGAGAGTCCAACCCAGACAGTCCACCCCAGAGAGTCCACCCCAGAGAGTCCACCCGAGAGAGTCCACCCGAGAGAGTCCACCCCAGACAGTCCACCCCAGAGAGTCCACCCNACAGTCCACCCCAGAGAGTCCACCCCAGAGAGTCCACCCGAGAGAGTCCACCCGAGAGAGTCCACCCCAGACAGTCCACCCCAGAGAGTCCACCCAGACAGTCCACCCCAGAGAGTCCACCCCAGACTGTCCACCTTAGATGGTCCACCCCAGAGTCCACTCTGGACTGTCCACCTTAGATGGTCCACCCCAGAGAGTCCACCCCAGAGAGTCCACCCCAGACTGTCCACCCCAGAGAGTCCACCCCAGACAGTCCACCCCAGAGAGTACACCCCAGACAGTCCACCCCAGAGAGTCCAACCCAGACAGTCCACCCCAGAGAGTCCAACCCAGACAGTCCACCCCAGACTGTCCACCCAGACTGTCCACCCCAGAGAGTCCACCCCAGAGAGTCCACCCCAGACTGTCCACCCCAGATGGTCCACCCTGGAGAGCCCACCCCAGACTGTCCACCCAGAGAGTCCACCCTAGACAGTTCACCCCCAGATGATCCACCCTGGATGGTTCACCCCAGACAGTCCATGTTGGCTGGTTCACTTCAAAAGGTCCACCCTGGGAATGGTCTACACTGCTCTCATGGCTTTCACTGGCCAGGAGAGCAATGGTTGATGCCCCAGCCCCGAGCAGCCGACCTGTCTCAGGAAGGTGCCCTCGTGCCACCCGCTTCGCCCTCACACTGCCTCCTTTACCCCAACACTGCCCCCTCTGCCCCTCGCACTGCCCCCTCTGTCCCCCACACCCCCTGCGCCACCTCCCCGTCCCCCAGCACTCACTTGGCCCGCATGAGGTCCTGGTCTTTGAGTGCAGAGCCCTGGAGGTAGATGACCCGCTGGGACCACAGTGGGATCTGCAGGACTCTGCGCACCTGGACGTCCATCTCCGTGGGGCACAGGATGACCACGTAATAGTCCTGCCGGCCAGGCGCAGGGTCAGACCCTCTGAGCCAGCCCCTGCCTGTCCTGGGCGGCCCTGCCTTCAGGACTGTGTGCGCCCACCACCTCTGGGCCCCAGCGCGCAATGTGATCTTGCATCTGGTGGGAGGGAATGAAGGGGACCCCACAGGACCCTCCCCACTCAAATGTGGGCTGCCACCCTCACTGAAGGGGTAAACTGAGGCTGAGAAGACTCAGGGACTTGCCAAGCAGTCCTGGGGATAAGATGGCATCTCTGGGGGCGGCGGTCAGTGGTCCTCACCTGGAGCCGGGGGTGGGCGTAGAACTCGTTCAGGAAGTCCATGAGGAGGTCGATCTTGAGGGAGCTGACACACAGGACCACGTGTTTCTCCGTCTGCGCGCGGTGGCGACTGTAGTTGCCCCCCGACTTCTGCCGCTCCATCCAGAGGTAGACGAGCTCCTCGAACTGCGGGCGAGAGCTGGGTGAGTGCCAGCGACCAGGCCGGGGGCAGCGAGGGCTCCCGGGGAAGCACCTGGGCCCCCCAACATGACTGTCTGCTGGGGGCCGGGGGCAGGGCCTGCTCAGCGGTGGTATCTACATTGGGGGGCCTTTCCCACACAGAAGCTGCAGGTGCTGACAGCCCCAGACAACACAGAGCAGGACGCAGGCCCAGCTGGCAGGATGTGTGAAGGGAAGAGGGCAGCTGCAGATTCTGGAGTACACTGAGGGTGGGGATTCTCCGCTGTGGAATTAGGGATCCTCCTCCTGACGGTAAGGGCGGCCAAATCAGGAGTCAGGCCCCGGTCCTTCAGGCACTCGCTGGCCTCACAGTCAGGAGCTCGCGTCCAGGTAGGGAGCGGCTGGAGCCTGTGGGTCTGACTCCGCCTGCCCCGGCTCATGCTCCACAGACTCAAAGGGGACAGATCCGAAACAGAGGCCATCGGGCCTTGCAGCACCGGCCCGGCTTGCCTGGAGGGGACAGCCTCTGGCTTTTGAGACGGAGTCTCCCAGGCTGGAGTGCAGTGGTTCGATCTTGGCTCATTGCAGCTTCTGCCTCCCAGGTTCAAGCGATTCTCCTGCCTCAGCCTCCCGAGCAGCTGGGACTACAGGTGTGCACCACCACACCTGGCTAATTTTTGTATTTTCAGTAGAGTTGGGGTTTCACCATGTTGGCCAGGCTGGTCTTGAACACCTGACTCGGGTGATCCACCTGCCAAGGGCCCCCAAAGCACTGGGATTCCAGGCGTCAGCCTCCACGCCTGACTGAAAGTCTCTGGCTTTTCCAAGCATCAAGTTCATTCCTTCATTTCACATATTTTATTGAATTGTTCTGTGTGTGTGACAAGGTCTCACTGTGTTGCCCAGGCTGGAGTGCAGTGGTGCGATCACAGCTCACTGCAGCCTCGACCTCCTGGGCTCGAGCCATCCTCCGGCCTCAGCCTCCCGAGTAGCTGGGATTACATGTGTGCCAGCACCATGCCCAGATAGTTTTTTTTGTAGAGATGGGGTCTCACTACATTGCCCAGGCTGGTCTCGAACTCTGGGCCCAAGCGATCCCCCTGCCTTGGCCTCCTGAAGGGCTGTGATTCCAGGCATGAGTTATGGTGCCCGGCTCCACTGACCACGTGTGAAATGGACACTGGTGGGAGCTCCTGTGCAGTGTGGACCAGCATGGGTGATGAGCTGTTATCTAAATGAGACCATCTTGTCGCTCTTATCCAGCGCCTGCTTCCTTCCAGTGACAGGACTCCACTGCCTTACCACACGGAACAGGTCCACAGCTGGGAGGTGCTCCAGACTCCAGGGCGACTGGAACAGAGGCTCCCCGCGGATGGTGCTGGCAGAGGGCTCTGCCGTCAGACACCCCAGGGCTCGCGTCCCTGCCTCCCATGAGTCTCAGCTTCCTCACCCGCGAGATGGTGGCTTGGCACTTACCTCCAGGGCTGCCGTGAGGACGAAGGAACTAATGCCGGCAGCTCTGTGGTGACCCCTAAAGGTCACATCTGCCCAGACCTTCGCCGCGATGACCTGGAAATAGGTCTCTGTAGCTGTAATTAGTTAAGATGCGGTCCTCCTGGGTTAGAGTGAGCCCTAAATCCAATCAGCGGTGTAGAGAAGAGGCCAGGTGCAGACAGGGCGGAGGCTGAGCTTTCTACCGCACGGAGCCCCAGGGATTGCGGCACCACCAGAAGCTGGAGAGTGGCGTCGGACGACCTCCCTCAAAGCAGCCAGAGAGGGCCGGCCCTGCCAGCCCCTCAACTTCCGATTCTGGTCTCCAGGGCTGGCAGAGGATACATGTCTGCTGTCTAAGCCACGTGTCTGCCTTGGTGGTCAGAGCTTGGAGGGACGCTTCTGGGAGACCCCCAGCTGGCATCGCTGTGTTCCAGCAGGGACACTCGAGAGCCAGGGCCTCAGAGTTGTCACTCTACCTCAGGGGCTGTCACTGGTGAATTCATCTCCGTGGAGACCAAGGGCAAGGGCACCGCAGCCCGTTACCATTGCCAGTGAGAGGCTGTCTTTCCAGAGTCATTTGGGGGAGGCAGGGAGCGGCTCAGATGGTGGGGTCAGTGGCATCACCGTCCCGATCACCCCAGCCCTGCCAGGGACAGCATAGGTCCACCTTGGGCCAGGTTTGAGCACCAGGCCTGGCAGGGCTGATGGGACAGATGGTGCACTGGCCCCTAGCGCCCGCCTTCCACATGTCTTGCTTAGGGCTCGTCCCACTCCGGGCCTGCTCTGCCTGCCCCACATGGGAGGAGGGAGACGGGCAGGTGGCAGCTGATCTGAGGACCCCACTGTGGACACAGCCCAAGCTGCAATGACAGCTCCGCATGCAGGCTGCTGGGGCGTTGCTGTCACCATGGCCACATCCGTCGATGCAATCAGTTCATAGAACGATGGTGCATTTGTTCAGTGAATTTCCCTGAAGAGCAGTCCAGGTGTGTTGGTGGCTGCAGGACTCTGTGAACCTGGAGTCACTTTTTTTTTTTTTTTTTTTTTTTTTTTGAGATGGCGTCTCTCACCCAGGTTGGAGTGACCTCGGCTTGCTGTAACCTCTGCCTCCTAAGGCTTAGGTGATCCTCCCGCCTTAGCCTCCCCAGGAGCTGGGACTACAGGTGTGTGCCATCACACCTGGCGAATTTTTCCTATTTTTGGTAGAGACGGGGTTTTGCCATGTTGCCCGGGCTGGTCTTGAACTCCTGATCTCAAGCGGTCTACCCACCTCACCTTCTGAACTGCTGGGATTACAGGCATGAGCCTTGGGCCCAGCCGATTTTTCTTCTGAAACAGTCCCACTCTGCTGCATAGGCTGGAGTGCAGTGGCGCGATCACAGCTCACTGCAGCCTTGACCTCACGGCTCAAGCGACTCTCCTGCCTCAGACTCCTAAGTAGCTGGGACTACAGGTGTGTGCCATCACACCCACCCAGCTAGCTTTTGTATTTTTTGGTAGATATGGGAGTCTCTCTATATTGCCCAGGCTGGTCTCAAATTCCTGGGCTCAAGCCACCCTCCCGCTTTGGCCTTCCAAAGTGTTGGGGTTACAGTCGTGAGCCTCGCGCTTGGCCTTATTTCTTGATGGAGATAAGGGGAGTGGGGGCCCCTGATGCTTCAGGAGCAGATTGGGAAGGCGGCCCCAGCCTGGAGGCTGTGGACACAGCAGAGAACACGGAACATGCGATTTGGCCCTTACCTGCCGGTGCCACGGTCTCCTGAGAAGCACAAGAGAGCGCGTCCCTGCTGCTTTATTTGAAAGTGACCCTGGGGTTGGCTGGGGCTCCTGTTCACTTTGGGGTGTGTGGAGGGGGAGAGGAGCCGGATGGCGTACAACGATGGAGCTGTGTGTGGCTGGGCTGCGGGCCCACAGGGAAAGGGGGATGCATCGGCCCTACTGACCCACCCTCTGACCTCGGCTGGGCCTCGGGCCTCTCGGAGGCGTCTCTGGAAGGGCTTGTGGGGAATTCAGAGACTGGAGAGGCCAAGGTCTCTGCAGAGCAGCCGAGCACAGCAGCCTCAGCAGGTGCCGGCCACGTGGCGAAGTGTGGGCAGGGGAGGACCAGGGACAGAGGCTGGGGGCCCATAGCAGTGTGAAGGGTGGCTCTAAAAGTGGTCCCCCCTGGACCTCAGAATGGGACCTCATTTGCAAAAGGGTCTTTGCAGAGGTGATTATGGTAAGAATTTGAGGTGAGATTTATGGACTGAGGCAGGAGGGCCGAGGTGGGAGGCAGTGTCATTGCAGGGAGTGGCCCTCACCACGCTGTGCTCCTGGCCTGGCTCCCACCCTCGCTCCTGACCTGCAGGGAAAGGAGCAGAGTGTGGGGTATCGGGAAGCGGGCATCAGAGGGGAGAACCCATCTCCACCCCCACCCCACGCAGTGGTTCCGGGTGGGTGAAATCCTGCAGGTGAGAGGCGGGCTTCACACTTTTAGAAGAAAGCAGGAAGCCAGGTTTATGATCGAGAGAGGGAATGATCTTTGTAGTCAAGACAGGAAAACAAACTGTAAGGAAACACTGGTGAATCTGTTAAAATCAAAGCCAAGCCGCCTGTAATCCCAGCTGTTTTTGGGGCTGATGCGGGAGGATTGCTTGAGCCCAGGAGTTGGAGGCCAACCTGGGCAACAAAGTGAGAGTGAGGACCCCCCCATCTCTAATTAAAAAAAATCAAAACCATTTGTGAATGGAAGATTCTGTAAGCAAAGTGAGAGGAGCGATCACGGAGCAGGAAGTAATGGGGAAGCCCCACGTGGCCGGGGTTCTTCTAGAACAGAGAGACTGGGTTCATGGGTGAGAACCGGGGGTGGCCCAGAGAGCAGCGGGCAGCTCCCAGAGATGGGAGGCTTGTGGCACCTGGTGGTGGGGGGGCCGGCAACTAGGTGGAAAGACGTGCACGCCCCCATATGGAGTCGGGGGACAGAAACCTGCAGATGGGGAGAACGTGGCCCACACCGAGGGCCGTCCAGCTGGAGCCACAGCTGCGGCTGGGATGCAGCAGGGGGAAGAGCCAGGCCACGCCCTCTGCCGTTTAGGGAGGGAACTGGGCCAAGTCTGGGGTCAGCATCGGCTCCCGGGAGGCACTCCCTGCCCGTCTCTCTGGCATCCTGCAGCCACCTGAGGGTCTGGCCACCACCTCGCCCTTTTCCTCCCACCCAGGCTCCTGAAGAACGTGCCACCGCCCACAGAGGTCCCTTCCCCCTCCTGTCTCCCTGAAAGCAGGGACCCTCCAGGGTGGGCTGGGCTGCCTGGAGGAGGTGTCAGGGGCAGTCTGGGGTGAGCACTCACAACCTGGGGCAGCTGCCCTCTCTGCCACCACCTTTCCTGCTGCAGCCCCACCCTGCCCCCTCCTCTGCTTAGTGGGCAGTGGGCCTCAGCAGTGGTGACAGGGAAGCTGCTGGGGTGGCTGGGGGCGTGCCCCTTGTGGGCCTGGCAGCCGCTGCACCTGGCTGTGGATGGGAAATTGGGCTGCCTGTCCACCCTGATCCCTCTGCACTCCGCGTGGAGCCTGGGAGGCCACCCCGGCACCAGAGACCTGCCACCTCCCTGGAAGGAAGATGCCGGCTCGTGGGACCCCAACACTACCCACCGCACGGAGCAGCACCAGATCCACCGCAGACCCACTACCCACCGCACTGAGCAGATCCACCGCAGACCCACTACCCACCGCACTGAGCAGCAGATCCAC